CAGCGAGGAAGCGAGGAACTCCTGAAGAATCCCGCTGGTGTTTCGATGATGGTGGCAGCCTGGGGCCGTCTTGGAGGCCTCGTGAGGCCCATGCTGGGTCGACTGGGTTCCCTCTATCGGGGCCGTCTGGGGCCTTCCGGGTCCGCTGTTGGCGCCTCTCGGGCCATCTGGGAGTCATCAGGTGCTCTCCGAGCAGAGGAGCCTCCAGACCTCCTCGCGTCGCGAACGAACGAAGCAACCGCCGGAAGGCGGTCGGCCTGCAGAGAACGGGTCGGGCTGAAAAAGTTGCCCCCGGGGAAGGGGCCGAGGCCTCCGCGGGCCCCCGCTGCGAAAGGAGCACGACGTCGGGGGTCCAGGAAGAGCGAGGCCACCACCACCAGCACCATTGGGGACACCTCCAGCGAGGAGGTCCACGGTGCCCTCCCGCGCGGGAGACGGGTGGCGTCTCTGGCGGAGCGCAGCGAAACGAGGGGACCACATCACCAGGAGGACCCTCCATGGCTCCTCGCGCTGGTGGTGGTGGTGGTGCTGGTGGTGGTGCTGGTGGTGGTGGTGGCGGTGGTGGTGGCGGTGGCGGTGGCGGTGGTGGTGTCGCTGTTCCCGGTTCCCAACTGATCGCCCTGCGGATCAGGTCCAAGCCCGACAGGGGCGACGGTTCCACATGCGTCGCCCCGCCCCATGCCGACACACCCTCTCGACACGTTCCGTGGCACCATCGGGCGCCACAGGGAACCCCGCCGAAGACCCTGGGAGGGTCCACATGCGCCCCCCCGCCCCATGTCGGCACACCCCTCGCATGTTTCGTGGCAGCATGTAAATCAGGAGGGAAAGAAACACACAGACACAATTAATCGCCGAGTCCCAGGAAAATATAGGAAAATATAGGAATTGGGCGGGAATGCAAAAACCCAGAAAATATGGGAAAATATGGGGAATCATTTTATTTGTGTGTATTTATTTGTGTGTCCCAGGGCTCCTTCAATAAAGTTCTCCATCGAAGTCCCCAGTGGGAGGGTCCACCTGCCTCGCCCCGCGCCACGTCGGCACACCCCTCGCACGTTCCGTGGCCCCAAGCAGAGCTCCACCGAGGTCCCCAGTGGGAGGGTCCACGCGCGTCTCCCCGACCCATTCCGTCGCACTCCTCACGCGTCTCGTGCCATCAAAGGAGGCCCCACCGAAGGCCCCAGTGGGAGGGTTCACGTGCGCGCACTCCCGCCCAATTTCGGCACATGTGAGTCGTGCAACGCGCGGTCATCCCTTGTATCTTGCGCATCACATAGCCATCTTCACATTGCCACCACCCATAACAACGTGGGCAAATCTGGCCAAGTGGTGCAACTTTGTTTACGCCGCAGCGTGAGCAAACACAAGAGGTGCTATTGTTGGTGTGGATTGTGCGGGGTTCTTGCTGCATTTCCCGTATGCTCAGATCCGCCCAGGCATCCGGACGGCCCGAAAACCTATGACGATTGCTGGATGGGCTCCCTCACAAGTGTTCGGGTATGTGCTGGTTGGTTTTAGGGGTGCCTTCACACGTCTCGCGGGCCCGTGCAGTGTCCCTGTTGTTGTTGTTGCTGTTGTTGTTGTTGTTGTTGTTGTTGTTGTTGTTGTTGTTGTTGTTGTTGTTGTTGTTGTTGTT